TTTAATTCACATAGAGCACCTGTAATCACATAAAGAGCACCTGTAATCATAGTGATATAAACAAATTATGTGAAAATTATGAAACATGGTATGACACAAAAACTCCGTTTTTTTGTACTTGCATCTACTATTGCATGGAAGTTCTTAAACCATGCAGTTTATGTCGTGTTACATGTTTCATCATTTACTTCTTCTAGGAAGCCCTGGGTAGTAGTATAGAAAGGGAAAGGAGAGGGGAAGGAAGGAAGGGAGAGAGGGAGGGAGGAAAGGAAGTTATTTTAACAAGATTAAATTTAGATATATTTACTATACGTTGCATCATAAACAATTGAAGTGTTATCCTGTTCTCTAAAATGGGTATGGTTCATTCTTTCTAATAATAATTCCACCTAGTAAGATCCAACAGCACTGAAATTCCAAGAAATAAAATTGGCTTTAGGAAATCCCCAGGGTTTCAGTGGAAGTTAAAAGAAAGTTGAGTATTAATATGGTTATTAATATATATTAAAATATATTCAAAGCAAATAATAAACCTTACATTTTTACAGTTGAAGATGTTTCCCTAGAAAGATCCAGCAGATTTTATCACTAAGTTAATTGTGTCCTCAATTTTTGAGCTGTATCTTTTCTATTCTGCAGAAAGCCTATGAAAAACTCAACTTTTGACAAAATTACAAAATGGGAAGTTGAAATTAATTACCTTAAAGTAGAATGTGACAAGCTACATATCTAACTGTAGCTGTCACAATGTTACTTTGGAGATATATTATTTAAAATTAGTAGTATTCAAAGCCCCTCCTCCCTTCCCTTTCCCTTCCCACATGCAATAATATGCTTATCATTCAAATAAGTTAGTGCTTTTAAGAAGTTCATATGTGTCATATGTGAAATACTATAACACAGTGGTGGTGAACCTATGGCACACGTGCCAGAGGTGGCACTCGGAGCCCTCTCTATGGGCACACATGCCGTTGCCCCAGCCTCACCTCCCCCTGTGACCCCCTCCTCTCCAGCAGCCCCCCTGAAGGAGAGTCGCCCCTGAGCATGGCCCACACGGAGCAGCGCAGCTAAGGACATGGCAGCCAGGCAGCGTAGACTCTTCCCTCACACCCCATCATGCAGTTGATGCTGCAGGGCACAGGCAGAGGGTGTGGCCGCCACAGTGCTGCTGGGCTGCCTGGGCGATCTGGGGAGGGCCCTGGGGGCAGTGAGTCACCCAGCAGGCAGGCGGGGTGGGGGATGGGGGGGGGTAGAGCAGGGGCAGGGCAGGGAGTAGAGCGGGGGTGGGGGGGCAGTTTTTGGGCACTCAGTCTCTAAAAGGTTCGCCATCACTGCTATAATATTTCACAAATGTCCTAGCAAAGTCTCTTTCCATTTTGACACTGCATATATGTCAAACATAATTGGGCTTTTTAAATTTGATAAAAGATAGTAGGATTGAAAATAGGCTGTGGAGTAGATTTGGTGTCTTCTCATATTTGCATCCTACTTATATTTATTTAGCACCTAGAGATGGGAGGAGAGGCAGCTATCGGAACTTCAATACGAGTGTATGTAGACCTGGGAAGGTCTATCTTATGTTTGAGTGGTTGTTGAGCCTCAGTGTTAATATTGTAGTTTTGACATAAACTTATAGAGAGTTAATTTAATTATTACATTAGTTTTTTTTAGAGAGCAATATGCATGTTGTTATGAAGATGCAGATATGGGTACAGAAATAGAGAGATATACTTGGTTTATGAAAAGTGAAAACAACTGTCACCAGAAGGGTAAAATCAAGGCCAAGCTTTTATTTCCACAAATCCTGTACAATGTTGAATAAACATAATTATTAAACTAGATAATCTGATTCAGTAAAAGCAACCTTCTGTATGCTAGAACATAGGACCCTATTTGACAAGGTGCAGAAAAAGCCTCATTTCAGAACAATTATAATAAGTGCTGGAAAGAAATGAAACAATGTTTTGATAAGTGCAAATGGCTAAAACGTCCTTGGCTAGTTCTTATTGCAACAATAAAAATGTATGTGGTTCCCAAGATGAACTTCCTATTTCAAATGACATCAATTCCAATCTCAGAAAAAAGTTTGTATGATTTGCAAAGAACAATTAACAGATTTATATGGCATGGAGGGGGACAAAGATCCAGAACGTTGCAAGACTCAAAAGAAAGAGGTAGACATGTATTGCCTAAACTTAAATTATATTACAGCACAATCTGTCTGTAATGTAAAACAAAATGGGTAAAATCTCAAAACAACAGAATATCCATCAGAAAGTACAATGTCTTACTGTATGAAGAAACAAAATAAAAAGGACTTTGTAGGGACATTTTACAAGACAAAGTTTATTAAAAATGTGTTTTTTTTAAAAAAAAAAAACCAAAATGAGTATGAGTCCAGTAACCTCACTACTAGCCTCATCATTAAATGCCTTTTATTTCAGGGATAATTGCAGCATGAAAGACTTAATCACATATGCCAATATGGTAAATCCACACATATAAAATGAACTAAAGACCCAGCAAGAATTGTTCAATGAAGAAAGGAATTCAGCATAGTTGTTGTATTTACAAATTGTTGGAACAATAAAAAGTAACTTTGAGAAGGAAAAAGTGATCTTGAAAATGATGACAGAATTTGAAATACTTATGCAAAACCAAGATCACCTATTTGCATGGACTGCATGTATAAATTGTTGTTGAAATATGATAAAGAGATGGAACAAATCAGAAGTTTTATAGTAAAGCATAACAAGAATTATGGAAAAATTCAATAAGATTTATTGCAAGTTACAGTTTAGGGGAAATTGATGTGCAATATTTTACAGGTGTCATATAACTGTTAATTATCAAGAGAGATAAATCATATAAAAATAAACGTTGGGAATACTACAACAAAGGAAGGATGTTTTATTATATATGGTGGTTAAGTAAAAATTATGTAAAAAAACCCCTCAAAAGTACTGGAAAGAAATATACCCCAAAACTCCCTTTTTACAATCCTGTAAACCCTTACGATGAGTGGATGACACTGAGCATTTACTGGCCGGAAGCCCTTTCTGACACCACACAGTTTGTAGATGTTTTTTCTTTTCACTCTAAGAGAGAAATATCTACCTCTACCTAGAATTGAACTCGCAACTTTCTGAGTGGGACGCAAACATCTTCACCACTAGGCCACCACACTGCTCAAAAGAAATATATCAAATCATTCAAAACATTCTAAAAAGTAAGCTTCTTTTGATATTTGAAAACCTTCTGAGTTATAGGATTAATTTTCTTACATAAATTTCTATGCTATGTTTAATAGCAGTAAAGCTTTGATAGAAATAAAGGCTTAATCTTTGATTAAACTAGTCTGTCTCTTGTGATTATTACAAAATGAGTTGTACTGCATAAATGTTTTTCCTGAGGGACTCTAGCATCAAAGCCATTTATTTTGCTTCTGTTGGTATTTATGAAATCAGTTGCAGGAGGCTAAGCATGGGATGCCACAGAGCCAAGGATCCCTTGCATTTGAAACTTGATAATGTATTAGGATTTCTAACAATCATAGGTTTAATTTTTACAGCTCTGTTAAAATTGTAATCTCATGAGATAAATGTTATTAATAGTGGATTTGGAAGCCATATGATAAATTCTTAAAGAAAACAATATAGTTTGCTTGCCTTGACTTGTTTTATAATGAAATTACTGATGCATAATACAGTGTGCAGTAAAAAGGAGTATAGGCAACTTGTTCCTCCCTCTTATTTCTTTGTTAGGAAATATTCTAAGTAAACTTGAATATATTGTTTAAAGAAATTGTATTAGCTGTGAGCTAGAATTAAGTTCTTAATTAACATTTAGACCAGACATGTCAAACTCGCGACGTCACGTGACGTCACACAACGCATCGGGACGATTTTGCCATTGCCAGCAATGGGGTGGGCGTGGTTTCCGCGTGACGTGTCTGGCCTGCAGGCTGGCAGTTTGACACCCCTGATTTAGACTAAAGGAAATATAAATGTAAATGTATTCAAGTATTACCTTTGAACAGAAATATTAAATAAGAGGTTGGAAATGTAATTTTCTTTAAGAACATATACAGTAATAATAACAATAACAACAACAACAATAATAACAATAATAATACAGTTAGAAGGGACCTTGGAGGTTATCTAGTCCAACCCCCCGCTCAGACAGGAAACCCTATGCCATTTCAAACAAATGGCTGTCCAATCTCTTCTTAAAAACTTCCAGTGTTGGAGCATTCACAGTTTCTGGAGGCAGGTGGTTCCATTGTCAGGAAATTTCTCCTTAGTTCTAGGTTGCTTCTCTCTTTGGTTAGTTTCCATCCATTGCTTCTTGTCCTGCCTTCAGGTGCTTTGGATAATAGCTCGACTCCTTCTTCTTTGTGGCAACTCCTGAGATATTGGAGCATTGCTATCATGTCAACCCTTATCCTTCTCTTCATTAAACTAGACGTACCCAATGCCAGCAACTGTTCCTTATATGTTTTAGCCTCCAGTTCCCTAATCATCTTTGTTGTTCTTCTCTGTACTCTTTCTAGAGTCTCAACATCAGTATTAACTGATGTATCAACATGTTGATACACATACCCACTTTTGTTTTTTTTAGTTAGTTTTTGTAAATTAGATTATTTATTTATAATTTCAATTGGGAAGATGTTTTAGACTTTAAAAATACTAAATCTGATTATTTGAGTGTATTTTGCTTTACTTTGGATGCTTGGGTATATATTATATATACTGATTATATATAAATTTTACCATGAATCAGTTCCCTGACTGAACATTTAAACCAATTTGTATTGATTTTACAATATAGTGAAAAATAAGTGGCAAAATGTATGGATGTAGAAACCTTGGCATCTAAGGAATTAAAAAAAAAATCTCAGAGTGTGACTTCCAAGCTTTCAAATTTTCAAATATAAAGTATGGTACTTCGATCATATTAATCTATGTATCAATCAACAGTGCTTTCTTTTTATTTTTCAGGCACACTGGAGAACCTCCCTTAATAAATGGTTGGATTCCTTTCTTGGGAGAGGCCCTGAACTTTAGAAAAAATGCTACTGGTTTTTTATTATCTTTGACTAAAAAACATGGAGATATTTTTACCGTACACCTGGCTGGTGAGCAACATTTTTGTTTTGTTTACTTCTTAGAGTCTTTTAGTAGGTTAAATAGTAGTACAATGGAATATAGATCCATCATTCAGTTTAAAGGCTATCCTTCCATCCATCCATCATGCAGACTGCCTACTTTAGATGATTCTGAGCAGATTGAATTTAATAAATAAGAATAATTAAATAAGAATAATTAAAGTAATGTGTGTATTTTATTTCAGTCTCCCATATTTAGGCTTAACAAATATAATTCTAAAGTAACATTGTGAGAAAAATAGAAAAACATTTTTCTACATTTTCAAAACCATGAATGATTTTTAATATTTTTACTATGTCTTCATTTCCCTTTCTTCTAACCAGAAATGTTCAAACACTATCATTTTTTATAGAGGATTAGATTATAGGGAACTATAATATTTGTTTAATAAAATCACAAGTTTTTATTCCAAATACCTGGAACTCCAACACAAGAATTCCAAACTACCTGGGAATTTGGGGATTTATAATTCTAACAAATCTGGAAGGAATCAGGTCGAGTATGCTGCCAGGCCTTAACTGACATGATTAATGTGTTATTTGGACCAAGCCAATAAGAAAATTGTTTTGGTGTAGTTTTGCAATTTCATTTTCATCCTTTTATGTTTTATTTATAATTTTTATTGGTTTATTAGAGCTACTGTATTTTTCCCTTTTGCAATGTTACTTTATTGACTTAGTTTATGATGTTGACAAGATTGGAGAACTCACTTGGTAGAGGGAAGGCTGGTCACCTTCCGAATAGTCAGATGAGGCTTCAGAAAATCTGGAGGAGATTATCCCTATGCAGCTTCCTGCAAGGCCAGGCCTCTAAGCTCAGCCCTCTCTGAACACCTCCCTCCAGTCTAGCTGGATATTTCACCACAATATAATACCTAATTATTTCAAATAATATACAAGTTTGTACAAGCAAAAAAAAAGAATCCCAATTTTTAATCATTTTTAATATCTGAGCCAGAATGACATCTTATGATGCACAGCACAGAGGCACCTCATTTGTAGTCACCAGAGTGCATAATGCAGAGGTTTCTGACATTCCATGAATTGGCATGGGGTGGGGAAGTATGGGGAAGTAAGGGTGAAGATTCTGATGACTACCAAAAAATTTCTGGCCTATTTTTCCAAGTGGTTGGGTCTTTTTGTTCCAAAGGACAAAATAAGTATTTTGCCCCTTGTACTTCTTCTCCCCCAAAATCTATCACAAAATCCCACCAACAGCCTGCACCCATCAAACAGAGCAGCACAATATAGTGCAATGGGAGGCCAAAAAAGATCACACATCTCTGCTTCAACATATTGTATTCTGGCTTATGAAAGAGAAAAAAACAGATATGTTATAATTTATGGTTTTTGTTCATTTACATTTTCAATATTTTTTATTAATTATTGGAAGGTCATGGAGTTACCATAAGAACTGAGACCCTATTACTTCATGTACTAATATTTCAGGAAGCTTCTCGGAACTGGCAAAATAGAGGAATTCGGAAATGCCAAACTATTTGCAGCATTTCTGCACTAGCTTTACCTTTTCCTCTTGATGTGCTTCTAACAGTCTTGTCAAAAATATTGCCAATATATAATGTTCCCCTTATTAATTCTCAGATTAGTTCATTTGGAAAACATAGACTGATGCTCTGAGTTTCTGGCATTGCCTCAGACTGGTGACGTGATTTCACTGATTGTACTTTCCTGTATGATAAGCAAATGATTGTCATTCTGAAAAGCAATAATGGACATGGATGTCACCTTAATAAAGAAATTATTCTCCACAAGAAACAGTGGAAATTCCTGACCTGTCGTGGAAAATAGTTCTCTAATTGGTTTTGTGTGGTGGTGCAGCAGAATCATTTTCCCTAAACGTCATTCCAGTGAGTCACTACTGTACATCATTGTCAACTTTTCAGCAAAATCTTCCTAATAAGAAAGACCAGTGTTACGTAAATAGAATCAGCAATCCCTCCCTTTTATGCCCCACAAAACCTGTTTCTACATGTGGTGTTTTCTCTGTGTATGTGTGTGTTTGTGTGTGTGTGTGTATAGAGTACAGCCTGAAATTCTAGGCAACACTATTATTAATTGTAATTGTTTTTCCCTGTAGCCCCCCATCCTGTGTAGAATTCAAAGTGAATCTAAGCTAACATGAAGCTAGTGTAGGAAATTTAAAATAGAAAATAATTGTTGGGGAAGGAGTGTTTTTTTTTAAAAAAAAAAAAATCTATACAGCTGCATACAGATCCCCATATAACCTGCTCTGACCTCACAAGGGTTTTGAAAGTGGGAGACTTAGCCTGCTTCAATCACTTAATCCCACTTAACAAAACAATTTTCCGGAACATCTCATCTTTCATATCTACCCAGCTAAAATATATTGTTACAGCTACTGCAAGCTGTATATTCTGTTCTAAGCAAGTCTAATAAACAAATATGCAGTGGAGATATGCTTCATCAGCCAATAAAGAAATAACATTTGAATGAAAGGAACTTTTTTTCAATCCCAGAGAATTTATTCCATTAAATTTGATATTGGGCCAACTTGATTATAAATAAGTCTGTTAAAGATAACATGCAATGTATTTCCCTACCATATGGATAATAGCATTTTGGCTGCTTTAATAAGCTGCTTTAAACTATACATTTCTTGAACAATCTGAGATCATTGGATTCTCCTATATGTTTTTCACATTTTCTTCATGATTTTTATATTATTCCTGGGTTTTTTTTGCAAAGATTCATTGTGAGCTGAATGGACATCCAAAGCATTCATATGTAAACAGAAATTAGAATTTTCATAGTATATGTGCAATATTATTAAATTAACAAAATCTAAAAGATTATCATTATAAGATTTGTAAATACTGTATGGATGCATGCAACAGGAGAAGCTAACTGTTTACTGAGCAGCAAGGAGTGTTTAAGTAGTTTTTAAATTCTCGGCTCTGTGTTCCCCAAGCAAACCCAAGAATATGAGTTTTTTTTAGAATAACAGAGTTGGAAGGGATCTTGTAGGTCATCTAGTCCAACCCTCTGCTCACGCAGGAGTTCCTACATCATTTCTGACAGGTGGCAGTCCAGTCTCTTCTTGAAAGCATCCAGTGATGAAGCACCAACAACATCTGAAGGCAATCTGTTCCATTTTTTGATTGTTCTCACTGTCAGGAAATGTCTCCTTATTTCCAGGTTGAATCTCTCCTTGATCAGTTTCCATCCATTATTCCTTGTCTGGCATTCAGATGCTCTGGAAAATAGGTTGACCACATCCTCTCTGTGACAATCTCTGTGACAAGTTAAGTAGGTAAATTATATAAAATTAGTCAGGAATATATTCAAGAAGGCATGCATCTAAGATCTCAAAGGGGACATCTTTTTAATGAGCAGACCTGAAGTGTGTTGGATGTTCTTGGGAGCAGTGCCACAAACATGTAAAATGTTACATACAATTTCAGTAACAGATGACCATATTTTATGTATACATGTGCCTATATTATGATGCATACTTAATAATACAGGCATTCCACAATGTACAACCATTTGTTTTGAACCTTTCAAAGTTACAACAACGCTGAAAAAGGTATCTTAAAATCAGTCTTCACATTTACGTTGCAGTGTCCTTATGGTCACATAACTGAGATTTGGGCCCTTGGCAACTGGCATGTATTTGCAATGGTTCAGCACTCTCAGGGTCATGTGGTCACCATTAGTGACTTCTCAGCTGGTTTTCAACAAGAAAGGTCAATGGGAAAAGCCAGTTTTGTTTAATGACCATGTGATTTGCTTAACAACTGTTGCAAAAAAATTGCAAAATGACCCAGTCATATGATGACTTATTTAACGACTGCATCACTTAGCAACAGAAGTTCCAATCCCAATTTTTATCATAAATCAAGGACCACCTGTATTACTCAATGAAGTTAGCAATAGACTATGCAAAGTTTCTTGCTGAATATTAACATACTGAAAACCTTGTGCTCTGTTTCTCATTGGTGGTTGTACCTTTGATCAGATGAGACGAGGATTGAGGATTTCCAGTTAGATCTAAAACTAATGAATGCCAAATGAATAGTATATGAAAAAAATATTTTTAACTAGCTGATGCTTTAAACAGGAAGGCCATAATCCTGACAATGTACAGAGACAAAAGTCTGCTATTGTTTAAACACTCAATTCTTGAGCTGTATTTTCAAATGCTGAGATATAATAAAGGGGACAATAGAAGGACAGCAGATATGAGGGTTGTATGGTTGTAACTCTGATCAAAATTTTATTGAACAACACTCTACTTTACAATCAAGACACTGTGTATTTCTGCCATGATCCCAGGAGGTAACTCCCAAGTAAGGATATATAAGATATCTGGACTTTTGTGCAGAAAAAAACCCACAGAATTTACAAAGACTTGTAGGATTAATCCCCCTCCCCAGTCACACATCAGCATGTAAAGATTTAGCCAGTAGTTAATTATATTGAAGTTTCTTCTTCTTCGCTTCCTCTTCTACTACTTCAGATATTGAGGGATTATATTGAATACATTATATTGATATTCGTGATATTCATTGATATGAATATTGATAATGTTCCATGTATTATTTTGAAGTATACTTTATTAATAAATATCCTATTAATATGACTTGCTTTTGTAAGTAAATGTTATTTAATTCAGTTTGTACTGGATTTGAATTCTATGGATATTTTGTTTTCTCTTCTCTCCCTCCCCCTTCTTTCCTATCTTTGTTACTTGAGTAGTGATTTTGCAAATGGGGTGTTGCTTTTTGGCATGAAGTGAAATTAATTGGACAAACAGAAGTGTTGATTTCATGACACTTTGTCAGAAATGAATTGCGTGCAACATTACACTTCAGTGGGCTTACATAGAATAAGAGTATATAATTATACAGGTCATAAACAGATTCATTTGGAAACAAATCCAAATGATTCCTAAGGGATCATAGATCATGGGCATGTATTAGGACTGT